TACATTCGTATTCCAAACTAGACAGGACAATCGGACAACCCGGCGCGCACATTAGGTTTGCAAAACAAGAACCGGCCCGAATTAGTCATCTGAGCATTGTTCCCCGGACTGGGCTCACCCTTGATTGTTTCCAAGCGGTCCCGGCCCGGAATTTAGATTAAGCAGCGAGCACGCCCCGACAAAGTTGAGGGCACCGCGACCGGTGGCGGCGAGGGAGGTTGGGGGTAGCAACGGCGACCAGAGCTCGGGTTTTAAGGGCGCTTTTTTCAAGCTTATAAATAAAAGCCGGAGTCAATTACATCACAATCGTTCCAGCGCCCCGCGAGTGGTGTAATCCCCGCGAATCGCTCGTTGGCAATTTAAAAAGCGCACTCGCTCTTCCGCTTTTACTTGTTGCGCCGTCGGGTCTTGCAGTCGAGTGGTTTTTGTTCTTCCTCTCAGTTCGCGTTTTCCGAGAGGATAATTGAGTCGGCTTCTGCAAAAACTGGGGGTGTCGATGATTGAGGAGCTATAGGTGCAATAACGGCTCGAGTAGCAAAATCGCGGTTCCACAAAACAGCCATTGAAGATTTTATTATGGTGCCAATGGAGATGTTGCTTGTGTGAGGAATTTGCGATTTGACCGATGATTCTTGTGTAAAAGTTCGCAAGAAACACGATGGTGCCACTGGTTTTCTGTGAAATCAACTCCCAAGCTCAAAGAAAGATCTCAAGTTGAAGCCAAAATGGAGGGGATATCCCACCCTACCCTGAGAGTCCACCTCTACGTCAAGACAAACTCTCCATGCAAAGATAGGGAGCAAATACATTAGCAGGGTTGGCGTGTTTTCAGTTTTGGAGTCCCCAAATAAAGTGGCAGCCCTGTCAATGTATTTGCTCCCAATCTTTGCATGGAGATTGGAGAGTAGTGATGGAGAGAAGTACTTGATGTAGAGGTGGACTCTCAGGGTAGGGTGGGATATTCCTTCCATTTTGGCCTCAACTTGAGAGCTTTTTTTAAGCTTGGGAGTTGATTTCAGAGAAAACCAGTGGCACCATCGTGTTTCTCGCGAACTTTTACAAATAAGAATCATCAGTCAAATCGCAAATTCTTTACACATGCAACATCTCCATTTGTATACATTATCAAGTGTAGCATTGGCCAAGGTCGAGAATGTTAGTCGTTTCCTCAAGTCTAAGTTGGCAATATTGGAATACAGGATAATCAAAACCGAGATACGCCCCTACGTCAGAGGAGCGACGATATACACGCACACACACGAGCACTCCAGCACTCTGCCCTCATGACGAAAACTTCTGTGGCTATAACAGAAAAGGTTTAGAAGCCCTATGAACCAAACTATTTTTTTCAGTGTGTGGTGGAACGGATTTTTAAAAATTGTCCGAAAAGATCAAATATACAATTTTAATTATTTTCCTGTGAATAATAAGACTTTTCCATAAATATACGTCATTTTGCTAGTTTTAAACACACATGCTGAATATCATACCAAATACTTTAAGAGAAATAGTACTTTTTCAAAAATTTCCAAAACTTTGGTAGGATTTCTCTCGTAACCAAAAGAGAGGAGTCATATTATTCAAGCAGAATAGTGTTGATCGCCAGTTTGATCGCAGAAAGTCTTTGCCGGCTCGGGGGACAAGAATCGCCTTCAACAGGGCGCAGCCGCAACCCGGCGACGACTGAGTTTGAATAGTTATCACCTAGAATATGAAGGCGCTTTTGGCTGCCTCTAAAATCATGACATTACGCAGAGGCTAAAAATACCTGTACAAAATGGCTTACAATGTGTGGAATACCTAGGTTTAAGAACACCGAAAAAAAAGTGAAGCTGATTTACCATTCTGGATGTGAAAAAAGTGTGCGAGAACTCTCAAAATACTAAATTAACCGCT